CCCCTGTGAAAGGGTCGTTCGACCCCCAAAGGGGTCGCGACCCACAGGTTGAGAACTGCTGACATAGATCAATGGAACAGAGTAGAGAGCACAGAAATAAACCCATGCATACATGGTCAATTAACTTATGACAAAGGAGCTAGTTTGCTTGAATCTAAAATCAGGTTGATGGTACATTAGCAAATACTTTGAGAGAATTTATTAGTATGTGTTGATTATTCTAGTCTTCATTCCAAACAATCCAAGCTTTAGAAAATAAAATAAGGCAACATAACTTAACACATAAATTGTTATTGTTACCTCTAACAAAAGGTTTAAGAATCTTATAGGAATCTTGCCAAAATTGACAGATTAGCAGCAATCCCCTTAAAAATATGATGTTCCTTAAAAGTGAAGCTGTAGTTGTTTTTAAAAAGCAGTAGTCCAGCTTAGCTCAGAAGTGTAAATAAAGGAAGGGAAAGCTGGGTGCCTGGAGAAACTTAGTAAATAAGTAACAGAACTGATAACTGATTCCAACTTCCCTGTTCCTGATGGTAACAATAGGTCTTTAATTCCCACAGCCAGCCTATTAACAGGCATGTCAACATTTATAAAACTGAAGATTTACCTGGTCTAATCATAAAGACCATGTCACATAGACAGAGATCGAAAGGGGAAAAGTGAAAATGAAGACAACTGGTATATTAGGATGTAGAACTTGGACCAATTTACCCCTTTACAGTATTTTTCTTGCTATAGTATTGTTTATGCAACAAATTCATACATTTTTAAAAAGTATGACACACTGGAAGTGGTTCTGTGAAGAAAATTAAAGTATTTGCAAATTTGAAAACTAAGGCTGGTAGCTTTTCTGTTTAGAGCCAAAAACCATAGCACTTCCACAGCGTCCTGAAATAACACAAATAATATAAATAGAGATCAAGGAATAGCATATTATATATTCAGCCTATTTAAACTGGCCTGCAATCTAACAATAATTCATATTTGCTTTAGATAATTACCTCCCATTACCCCACCTATAAAATTGTGCCTTCCTTGTTCTAGTCTTGTCATGTCCTTCCAGCTCTCCATACCATCTAGCACAAAACTTAGTGTTTGGTAGGTCCTTGGTATAGCATTTGTAGATTTTACTTAACTAAGCTTATTTTCTTTATAATTTATCAAATCAGTTCCCTAATCTCTATGAGTGTATGGCAATGTGTTGCTCATTTATTAACAGTCAATTGTTAGTACGCCTGCACTAATAATATATGGGCAGCTTTTCATTAACTTTCATACTCTTTATACATTCAATCTTTTTTATGATAATATACAATATGCAAAAGAGAAAAATCAATCCTGTCGGTGGTGCTGGCAGTCCCATCCTTTTTTTTTAGCTGAGCCATCCTGCCACCTGTTGGCAGCTCAGTGGCAGCTCAGCTCAGGCCGGGCATCGAACCNAGTGTCACTGCAGGTAACCAAGAATATGTTCGAAAATTGTTAACAGAATTGAACTGGTAACCTTGTCACGACTTGAAGCAAAAAAAAAAAAAAAAAGGTAATTTCCGAGTTGGGAGGTATTTTATATTGAGTTTAAAACTGAGTACACAGCCTCTACTTCTATTCTAGAGGAGGCGGGGAGAGGAAGTGACTTAGCCTGAACAAAGCGTGAGTTGGCAGCAGGGACAGAGGTTGAAGCAGGAGCTCAGTAATCGGCTCCGCGGCTTTTACAACCACACAAACTTAGGCTGCGCGTCAGTACCGGTGCTACGATTGAAGGCGGCCAGAAAGCGCTACTGGCAGACCACGTAACGCCCTGTCCGCCCGGGTTCCTTTCTAGGGTAAAGATCGGTTAGTTTAAAGTTAGGGAAGGGAAAGGGCAGAGAGGAAAAACCCGTCTCCCCTCAGGCAAGCAGCTGTGGGCGCACACCGCCTCTGACATAAATCCGCCCTCCTGCTGCCGTCATCACTCCTGCTGGCCCTCCTGGGATCCCTCCCCCAGCCCACTCTCGAAACGAACTTGGTCTCTAAAATATAAGGAAAAAAGGGCGCAGGAACAAAGCGATCCCAAGCGAGCCCCCTCCGTTCCTGGCGCCCTTGGAGGTGGGCGGTCGTGGACTACCAGTCCCGACATGCCGCGCGCCGGCGGACCCTCGACCACCGCCACGCAGGCGACCCGAAGGTCGCCGGGACTCGTAGTTCCAGATCCGCGGCTCCAGGGGGCGCGGACGGCCGGACGCAAGGAGACAAGCCGGCGAGGCGTCCGGTCAAGACCTCAAGGAGCCTGCCAGCTGCCCAGGCCTCACCTCGACGATGCGGGCGCACTGGGTCCCCTTGCCGGCGCCAGGACCGCCGAGGACGAACACGACCAGCGGCTTCATGAGGCGGTGAGGGCAGGGGAAAAGCAGCCGGCGGGTCAGCAGCGGGAAGCTAAGGACCAGGACGTCCAGCAGCCGGATGCCGCAGCGGCTCAGCATACACCACGTCTCCGCCGGACACTGAGGTAGCTGACAGCAACCGGGCCGGCAGAGGCGCGGGGCGGGGCGGGGCGGTCCGAGCGGGCGCCGGCACAGCCCCGTCGCCGTGGCTGCCGGGGCGTCTGCGCCGCGGCCGGAAGGGGAAGGGCTTCCACTGCTCGTTCGGCGGCGGTGCCTGGGCGCCCCCTTTGAGAGGCCGCGCCCCTTCTCCTCCCTGCTCCTCTGCCGGCTCATTCTTCATTCAGTTCGCCGGTCCTTTATTCTGCGCCTCGTTGTGTCAGGCCTGCGCTGGAGTCTGGGACGTGACATACTGGAGAGGAGAACCCATTGTCTCCGTTCACAAGGAATTTAAATTCCTGCGGGGAGGCTGCGGACCTGAACAAGTCAACACACGAATAAGTAAAGAAATACAAAAGCAATAAGAGCTTTGAAGGGGGAAAAAATAAATAGCAAGAGATGGATGTAATTTGGGTAAGATAGTCAGAGAAGACCTCTGAAGAGGTGACATTTAAGCCAAGAGGAAAGCGCAAAACCAGGCAAAGACTGGGATACAGCGTCCCGCAAAAACAGAAAAGTGTGTGCAAAAAACCCAGAACCGGCTTGTGTTAAAAAAGACCAGTGAGACCAGAGCTCTATGAGTGAAGGAGAGAATAGAAGGTGGGAGTTAGGCTGATAGCAGGTCATTCAGGCCCTTTGGTTATGGAAAAGAGTTTGGATTATATTCTAATTGCAGTGGGAAGCCCTTTATAACTCCATTTCCCTGCCCCCTGCATGAAGGAAAAGTCTTAAGGGAGAAGAAATGGAGTCTAAGGAATGAGTCTTGGTGAACACAGACCTTTAAAAGTTTGAGAGAGGAGGAGGACCCTGAAAAGGAGGAGCTAGAAAGGTAGAAGGAAAACCATAAGAATGTGGTGGTCCAGCAAAGAGGAGAGTATTTGGGGTGGGATTGTGGTGATGTGCTGTAGTGGTGAACGTTGTGTTAAAAGCTTATAAGTACAGATAACTTGGATTTGGCAACAGGGAGACTAGACTTATGAACCCAAAGCAGATCACACACTGTATTTAATTTGAAGCTAGATTGAAAAAAGAGTAGATAGATGAGGAAATGAAATAGAATAAGGCGTCTCCCTGGAGAACTATGACCACAGTACATTGAGTATTTATAGTCCTATACCCTGCCCCTTACTTTCTGCCAACCAGGCTACTAATGAAAATACTATGTGAAAGGATATTTTAAAAAGTCAAACGCAGATACCCATCTCTGCCAAGGGAGTTATTCCCAGGAAGAACAAGACTAGGCAAAAGAACAGTGTATTATTTATTGGCTCTTTGGGTCTGTCCTGGTTATCTATTGCTATGTAACAACCCAACTCCAAAACTTAATGGCTTACAACAAGAAATGCTTGTGTGGGAACCTCACCTCCCCGCCCCCCCAACACAAACACATTTGGTGACCAGAAGTGTTCAGAGTGAGTTGCGTTGTAGTAGAGAGAGGAGACACATGGAAGAGTTTTTCCAGAACACCTATCTAACCACACCAGGCAGTCACATGGAGCCCAATCAAGGAGTCTAGGATTCATAAAAGACACCATGCTATTCTGATACTTAAACATTTAATCCCTCTGCTTGTCCACAGTGAAAGAAAGGTCTAACTTGTAGCACTTTGGTCCTAATCTCTTCCACCAAAATTCATTTTGTCTTAGTCTTATATTAGCGCTTCTACTCCTTGGAGGTGGCAGAGAAGCAATGAGTTCCACCTGGATGCAAACAACAGACCTTCAATAATAATATGCCTCAATAAATATACTGTATTGGATGTCACCCAGTAAAGGGCAATTTCTTATCTAAACCCACAGATTGAATCCATAGATTAAATAAATTGGATGAATATCTATTACAGATGAGAAAACTGATCTCAGAAAGATGTGTAACAAGAGCTATCCTCAAAACCCACTCCTACCCATATCAAGTACATTAGGTCTTTTGAGCATATATTCAGAGCATACGTACTATTCCCAGGGTATAGTTAATTTCCTACTAAACTCTCTAAGGGCTTCAGAAATAGAGCCTTGTCACCATTTATTTGTCCTATTTATTTATAATTGCCCTTAAGAGATAGATCATGATTTTCCCATTCTTGACCATGTCTCTTGGCTGGTATGTACTATTCATTTTTTATGATTCAGCTCTGATTTAATCTCCTCCATGAAGTTCTCTAACTTCCCAAGACGGGGTTAGGTGCCCCTGTTTTGTGCTTCTGCCCACCCCCACCCCCACCGCTCTACTCACTCGGTCCCTTGTTTACTTCTGTTGTAGCACTGTGGGTGTATTGTGTATCTCCATACTAGATTTAGAGTTCCTTGAATACAGGGACTATGTATCATTACTCTTTATACATCATGACAATGTATTATTGTTACAACATGATTGCCACAGTTCTTGGAAGATTTAGACTGAATCATGATGAAATAGAAAATCTGAACAGATTACTAGCAAAGAGATTGAATCAGTAATCAAAAGCCTGCCAACAAAGTCTAGGACCAGATGTCTTCACTGGTGAATTCTACCAAATATTCAAGAAGAATTAATACCAATCTTTCTCCAAAAAAAATAGAAGAGGGGGGAACTCTTCCAAATCATTTTACTAGGGCAATAGTACTCTGATACCAAACCAGACAAGGATGCCACAAAAAAAGAAAATTATAGGCCAATATCCCTGATGAACATAAATACAAAAATTCTGAACAAAATATCAGCAAACCAAATTCAACAATACATTGAAAGAATCATATACCATGATCTACTAACTTTATCCCACATAGTATTGGAAGTCCTAGCCAGAGCAATTAGGCAAGAAAAGAAATAGGCATCCAAACTGGAAAAGAAGAAGTAAAACTGTCACTGTTTGCAGATGACATGATTATTATATATAGAAAACCCTAAAGACTCCATCAAAAAACTGCTAGAACTAATAAACAATTCAGTAAAGTTGCAGGATACTAAATCAGTACACAAAAATCTGCTGCAAACTATCAGAAAGAGAAAGTAAGAAAATCCCATTTATAATTGCATCAAAAAGAATAAAATATATAGGAATAAATTTCACCAAGGAGGTGAAAGATCTATATATTGAAAACTACAAGACATTAATGAAAAAAATTGAAGAAGACACAAATAAATAGAAAGATATTCTGTGTTCATGGACTGTAAGAATATTGTTAAAATGTCCATACTACCCAAGGCAATATACAGATTCAATACAATCCCTATAAAAATTCCAATGGTATTTTTCACAGAAATAGAACAAACAATCCTAAAATTTGTATGGAATCACAAAAGACCTCAAATAACCAAATCAATCTTGAGAAAGAAGAACAAAGCAAGAGGCATGATGCTGCCTGATTTTAAACTATATTACAAAATTATGGTAATTAAAACAGTATGGTATTGTCCTAAAAACAAACACATAGATCAGCGGTTCTCAACCTTCCTAATGCTGCGACCCCTTAATACAGTTCTTCATGTTGTGGTGACCCCCAACCATAAAATTATTTTTGTTGCT